GAGCAGCAGAGCCCCAGCTGCCCAGCACGGGGCTCAGGGCTTGGCTGTGGGCTCCCCAAGCATGTTTTTGCATGGTTGGCACGTCAATACCTCTGTGGGGGAAGGAATCCAGATAAATGAAGATAACCCGGCTTTTTAGGGCAGAGTTGGAAGGTGCTGCACCCTCTGTGCAGCGTGCCTGCCCTGACCTACATTCAGCTGGCAGATGGATAGGCTTCCCACCCATTGGAAGCAGTGGGGTGATGGTGACATCTCAGGGGGATACCCTGGGGCAAGGAGGCTCCTGGGGCTGGCACTGTGAGCAGCTGGTGTGCTAAAGCCCTGGCTGAGTCCTGGCTGGTTGGGTCAGGAATGGTTTTGTAGCTAAAAAGAGGTCATGGAAGGCTGCATTTGGGGCACGTGGGGACAGGCAGGGCCTCTTGTGTGTCCTGGGAAGCAGCCCAGTGCCATGTGGCACCTGGGATGCAGCATCCTGGCTGCACGTGGGCATGGTAAGCACCACATCCCACCATGGGTATCATATCTTATTGCAGGCTCTGCACCCTGGCATGGGCATCACAAGCCATCCCAGGCATCACCATCCCCTTGTGAGTATTGCTCCCTATCACAGTCATTGCCCCCTGGCATGGGCATCCTATCCCATTGCAGGCATTGCACCCCGTTGTGGGCACTGGAACTCATCACAGGCCCTGCACTCCATCGTGGGCATCACACCATGGCACAGGCATTGTAACCCCATCATGGTCATCCCAAAGCTCCAAAGGGAGCTTTGCACCCTGGCACAGGCTCCCCATCCCATGGTGGGCATTGCACCCCATCAGGGGCATCACATCCCATTGTGGACATGGCACACTGGTGTGGGCACCACATCCCATCACAGCTATTGCACCCCAACGTGGGCACTGCAAGTGTCCTGGTCACCTGGGGCTCCCTGCCAGGCTGGTGGGGGTAGCAGGGGGGGGATAAGCTGGGTAGTTTTTCCAGGCAGTTCAACTAAATTGCCAGGAGGAAAACTAAACCAGTTCTCCAACCACCCCACCTGCTGGGAAACGTTACCCCTGGAAATGGGCAGGGCTGAGCAGTTATTACTCTGTCAGAGTAAGACTTGTAATAATGAGCTGCTCATTAGCCCCGAGGATTTCTGGTGGAGGAGAGAGCATGGGATTTGCCCTTGGGGAATGGCAGAGTAGGGAAAAAAAACACAACAAAAACCAACACAACAAACCAGCCTGTAAGTTACCTTGTTGTGCAGGGAAAGTGCTAAAACAGGTCAGAGCTGCCGGCAGGGAGGGCAGAGCCAAGATGGGAAGAAAGGAGCAAAAATAAGATGCAGGCTCTTTGCCACGACCCCAACCCCCCTATGACATGTCACAAGTGACAAAACACTAAAGATATCTGAACACATATATATATATATAAAAAAAAAAGACCCCAACATACACAATAAGGTTATTCTTCTTCAGCCCCCCAAGATGTGCAGCCCGTGGTCCCTATTTGCAGCAGCTGCACTTGGGGCAGAGGGGGCCCTTGCAGACACAGCCCTGTGCACACTTGGCACATCCTGCCGGGCAGCAGGAGCAGCAGCCTGTGGGGAGAGGAAAAGAGTAAGTCAGGGATGTTCTTGGGGTGCATGTGGGATGTGTCTCAAAGTGGAGTTTGGGGGATCCCCATCACAGGAGAGCTCTTACAGACCCCTTGTAGCAGCGTTCCCGCTCCCAGTGGTATCTCCTGAGGGGGTTTTGCACCCAGGGTTGGCACTGGGGAGGCAGCAGGAGGGTGCAGCACCCCCAGGGGTTCATCGGGTGCCCCCCCTCAGCTCTGCCCAGGGGGTCACAGCATGAGGAGCAGCCAGCAAAAATAATATCCCAG